ATCTTCCCAGTTCTGCCAGCTACCCTGGGTTCATCCATATCATCATATCATCAGTTGATAGCAACATAATACTCATTCTTTCTTTTTTTTTTTTTTGGTGTGCTTATTAATTAATATAAGAAATAGCAACTTTTAGATGCAGTGAGAACACTCAACAATATCATTTTTGTTGTGCTTGCAGTTTTGAATTATTAATATTTATTATTTAAAAAAACTGAGGCATAGGGCATAGTGTGGTCAATGAATTTTGCTTGAAGCACTGATAACACTTAGGGCCAGGTCTCTTGTTGCCTTACATGTTGGAAAGCCATTTACACAAAAATAAAGAATAAAGAAGATGGAAGCTGCTACCAGGTAGTGTACCTCTTGCACAGCCATGCACGCTTGCACCAGGGCACAGCAGGTGACAATCAGGGGGCTTGAGTCTAGATTAGGATTTCAACCAAAAGTAATTTCCATTTTATAATTTTAAGAGGAGATCTATTTTGTGGAGTAATATACTTGAATAGTAATTTTGATGTAAAATAGTGCACGACTAACTACAGAGACAGCTTTTCTTGCTGTTATTTAAGCCTGCTATTTGCATTTATATTGCTGCAGATGATGGAAAATGTTTACGTGGTATTTAAAAAATTGGGATTGATGAACTCCTAAACAGCAGCAGTGGGGTTCAAGCAAAATGCTTCTTCTTTCTATTTTTTGTGTAGTAGAATGAAAGATTTCTGAGGAAGAAGAAATTTCATTGTAAAGTACTCCTTAAAATTTATGGAATATTAAACAGAGAACTAAATGAACCTGAAGTAATTTAGACACTATCTAATAGTAAACCAAACCTTATGGTAGTTTTCTGGCCCTAGTTAAGTGTTTTCAAACTGCATTAAAGCTGAAGTTTTCCAAGAATCTTGAAAGGTATTCAATAGCAGCCCTTTCCTTTCATGTCTTTAAAAATATAATACTTAACATCCAAACAAGCCACTGTGGTGTTTTCTAGAAGTAAAAAGTGGATTGTGAAAGTAGGCTTTCCCAGTGTAAAAAGGGTGTTGAAGTTTCAGATCTACAATGTACCATTCCAGCAGAGCCTATTGGTGAAGGAGAGTTCCTGCAAGAGTAAAACAAATCAGTTTTTCCATGTATAAAATATCTCAGAGCATTTCATGCTTCTCAGCCTCCAAATGGAGTTACGTGAGAACCAATTGCTTCATGGTGCAGGAGCAGTAATTATTCAGAGGTGGGAGAGACGGGGTTTGATTGAAATTGATTCTGAATAAGATCATCAATTTTGCCTGTTTAGATCCATGCTGATTCAGCGGGGAATTCATTAGTGATTTGGTACTCCACTGTTTTCATCTGCTTTGATAAATTCAGTTGGAAACACTCTGTGGAAACAACCAGCCCTTGAAAGCGATGGGAGCACAGGCAGTGAGACAGCCATGAAAGCGAGGGATGAGGGGGTTCAGGTGGGGCCAGCATCAGGAAGAAAGGAATCCATGGGAGGCACGGAGGCCCAGGAACTCTGGAGAAGACAAGAAAGAAATCTTTAGTTTAAATTAGGATCATATGAAGTGGGAGGGAAATGACCAAATACTGTTCTCTCTCCAATTTATAATGAAGTTCAAGAACAAAGCTTGGCATTTTGGGGAGAAATTTTGGGGAGACCTTCCAGTGCACAAGCAGTGACATTTCTGAGCCAGGTGATAAAATTATCTCCTAAGGCTCATGAAGAGTAAAACAAAGTTTTATCAAAGAAACTGGCCCTGTTTGTCATGTGTAGTCATGTCTGTAATCAGTTCAGCTACTTTTCTAAATCCATATTTGTACCTGAAGTAAGTTTCCCTGGAGCTGCTGAACCACACTCATGTTCACTCCTGGAGGATTTTGCCTTAACGATACATTCAAGCAAACCTGAGTAAACTTGCACAGGATACCCTGCCATTGTTGTGCTTCTTTAATCCCTGAGAGAGCTTGTGTACATTAGTCCAAGTCATTTAAATCAGTGCTTAAATCATTCAGAAGTCATGCTTCTATACAAATACTTCTTAATGTGTTGCAGACATTAAGTATTCATACTTCACAACAGCACCTTCAGATTGTCACAAAGCATTAGCATATATTGCTGTAACTTTATTGAGAGCTTTGGTGGTTTATCCAAAACTTCAGAAGGAATCAATACAATTTGTGAGAATTGGTCTCAAGAATATCTGTAGACCAGAAGCTTGATTTCAGTTTTTGTAGATCTCTTCTCTCCATCTGCTCCTTCCTTGTGTTTGGCATGCTAGTCCCTCAGTCTATTAACAAAGAGATGCATTTCAAAACCGTGTTTCCAAATGTTTCATTGGACATTTGCAGAAAATATACGCTGTCATGCAATTTCATAGGACATAACGATATGTTACGGCATTTACAGAAACGTTGCCACTTCCTTGACTACCTTTTTGGTTTGATTTACAGATGCAGTGACTAGCAGTGAAAGGCGGCAGTATCACTGAAAGATCAGAGGCAGAAACTACATTAGGGTGGCATGCAAGGTTGGCAGATAAGGTGAAGCAGGCTGTGCGGTGTGATGAAATAAGTGGAATCAAATTAATCCTTTCTCTGGGTAGAAGAAGCCTGAATATGCATCCTCCAGAGTACAAGCTTTCAGCTGACACCTCACTTACAGAAGTCCAGGTCTCAGTGGAAGGATGAAGTACCCAGGGACAGGCTAATGTCTTTATGTATGTAGGTGGCAGACAGAATCAGGAGAGATCAGCAGGCACTGAGGAAAAAAGCAGCTGACATCTGTGGTGGCTGAAGGGAAGGGAGCAGAGACCTGCAAAGAGAAGGCTGTACTACCCAAGTGGAGCCCAGTAAAACGTTCTCTTTTGGGGCATTTTGAGTAAATTGAAGGAACTTGATGTAGCATTTCTTAAAGCCTGGGAGGAGATGGGAAAGGAGATGATGTGATGAGTAGGGGCCTGGATGAGAGATTAAGCTTTAATCTTCATCAGGAAGTTACAGACTGTAGAGATATTTTACACAATACTATTACAAATCCTGATCATAATTTGTACTGATTGCGGGAGGAACAAAAAAGAGCAAACTGAAGCAGTTATTTCCAGAGACCACTCTAAGCAGTGATGGTGTCCACAGTTGTATTTTACAGCTGTGTGTATTCCCTAGTTGCAGATCCTGCTCAACAGCATGAACTAATTTCTGCAAACCTCAAGCCCATATTTTTGTACCCAGTGGGTTTCTGCCATGGGAAAAATAAATTCTTAATCACCACTGAGGCTTCTCCACCCCATTGTTTTGTTTCACATTGTTTATTTTTATTTATAGGCACTCATCAGCATAACGTACCATTGCCTACAGCAGCAGGATTTGTTGGATACCTTAGTAATTTTTTTTCTGCTTGCTTGTATGTGCATTATGTGTTCATTTTTCCATTTGCAATAAGCTTGGCAAAGCATTACTGGTATACTTTTTTTTTTTTTTTTACAGAGAAAAGATAAACTGTAGCATCTATAATTGATGGAAGAAATATCCATTTAAAATAATTTTAACAGGATTGAAAATATCTAAATGCATATGGACAGACACATAGCAACATATACTTTTAATGCCTCACACAAAGCTTGGAAAAGAGCTGGTATCAGATGAATGTATGAACTTCAAAAGACCATGACAATAGTGTGTTTTTCAACCACTTTTATACTGATGCTTCTAGGATGAGGTGTTCAGATGTGGCACAGTTAACCCAGCTAGATCATGTAACAGGTTAGAATAAGGTATTAATGAGCAAAGTCTCAGGCTGAATTGTAGATGAATAAGTTGTGTAAATAGAACTGGAAATTATCCTGGCCATGTTTTGCAATCTATTTCTGACTCAGGGGGGAACTGGGTTCACTGGAACAGAGTCACACAAACATTAACTAGTTGAAAATACCCAGCACAGAGCATTTATTTTATATCAAGCGGTCAGTGTTCTTTCCCAAAAGCTGGTGGGAAATCAGAGCTGCACCAGCTTTGTTCTCGCCAGCATGCAGGGTACAGGCCACAAAGGGATGTGGTGCTCCACCACTGAGGCTACCAAGTACTGAGTGAGACAGCATCACTTGGGGACTTCCTATTTGTGCCAATTCTTGGAACTGAAAGCTTTTGGGGGATGAAGGAGCTGTACCCAACTCTGTGCTGCTGCTCCTCTGGTGATACAGGATGGGACTGAGGAATCTGGCCTAAAGCTTGTTAAGGGCTCTAAAGGCTCTGAACTGTCCTCTTATTTACTGTAAATAGCATTGTGTTGCTCACCTATGCTCAACACTGTGCTCACCTGTTAGGTCTGAAGGCCAGAGGGAGGAGTGCCACCTGCTTCCTTAATTTAAGTGTTCCTCCTTGCCCAAGTTCACCACTCTTTATGATCACTTATCCAATTGGAAAAGTCCCACACTTGTGCATTGCCACGATTACGAAACAGTGCAAATAACTTTGGAAGGAAAAGTTTAAGAGAAAAGCTTTAAATAAGCTCCTGTGGTTCCAACATACAGAGAGTTCATCAGGCCAGCACCATTCTTGTGATTTTATCAAACTTCACCTGCACTTTGTTTTTCCGTTTTTAAAGCCTGCATTGAAAAAGAGCTTGTCCAGTTTAATTTAATTTCCTGCTGTAGCAGAGAGGTTGCATCCTTTACCCTCTCTCCCTACTGCACTGAATTACTCCATCCTTTAAAACACAGCTGGTTTAGATTGAGAGGAAAATGACTGTTTTTGCCAAATACAGTTTTATACTAGATTTTGGGAGTATGATAACCCTGTTTGTAACAGTATCTAAGTACTTGCCTCAATTTAAGCAGCTGAGTATTCCTTTTTTTTTTTTTTTTTTTTTTTAAGATTACCACATGCTTAAAATGAATACTTCCTTTCTTAAAAGACATATGGTTTTGGAGATTAAAATACGCCCACGTTTTGCTGATATATGTCAAATCTTTTGAAACAATGCTGTATTTCTATTTTTGCCCCCCAAGGTGGACACCCATGGAAATATTCTGCTGACATCGCTTGAAATTCACAATGAGGTGGCAAGCAACGAGGTCACAACCAGCGTCACGGATGCCAGAAATTCAACGATATCCTTTGACAACTCAGGAATCCAGTACAGAAAACAAAGTTCACATCGTGAAAGCTTTGGAAGGCGTCCGTCAGAAAGAACAGGCTCCCACAGCAAGAGGGGCCATTTACGAAGAAGGTCTTCACAACTGAAAATAAAAATTCCTGATCTAACAGATGTGAATGCCATTGACAGATGGTCAAGAATGGTGTTTCCATTCACATTTTCTCTTTTCAACTTAATTTACTGGCTATACTATGTTAACTGATTGACTGAACTTTTTTAAAGGACTTCAGTTATAACAAGTGAAGTACTTACTTGCCTGCAGAGTTTATATATATTTATATATAAATATATATATATATGAACTTTTACTATGTAGAGAATACTCATGTATGTGTGAATACATACAGCAAAGAACTGTGTGTGTATATAGGCACACACTGAAAAGCAAAGGTATATGTATGCACACATGCGTGTACACGCTCATTCTGAGGTTATGGACAATGTCACATAGAATGCACTTCGAGGATCTTTTTCAATTGAAAGGCAGGTGTCGTCAAAAACAAGCCTTGAGAAAGTAAGTGTTGTATATTATCACTACAGAACTTTGATTGTCATATAAATTTTCAAGCAGCTGTAATGGTGTATAAAGTCAGTATTTAGTAACATTGTTTGTAAATGTTGCCATACACACTAATCATAAAGCGATAGTGTTACACTGGTAAGTTTAAAATAAGTCGTTTATATTGCAGATCCATCAGGAACAATTTCATCAAGCCAAATTTATTTTTCTTTGCTAAAATATCTTGGTTTTATATGTCATAATATATTTTTCCGGTCCTGAACAAGCATCGTTTTTAATGATCTCTTGCTTTCTCTTCTGCAGTAAGCAGGTTGATCATAGGAGTGTTGCTCTAGGTCTTTGGAGACGTATACATGTTCATAATATTTCAAACAAGCATTTTAAGTGTCCATCAACAGTGAAAAGAATCTTTTGTAAGTACTGTAAATGTACAGCACATTTTCCTTCCCTTGGACTGGTTCCAGCTGCCATGTCATTTTGAAAGAAAACAGCACATTTTTAGTGTAATTTAGCTGAGAATTCAACTACTGTCAATGTGTTCTACATCTGCTATAGATTTAAAGATTGTTATTCCAGTGAAAGCATAGAAGATGTCTCAGGTTATTTGCTACTTCAACATGAAACCACCTAGCTGTAGCATTTTTTAAATATGCATTCACATTATTTAACATTTCTTATAACATTGTATGTTAATGTAAAATATATTTGCATAATATGCATATACGTATATTTTCTCAATGTTTTTCTTTCCTGTGCTTGCTATCGTGATTGCATGCTATGTCATATTTTTGTTTCTGTGATGTTACAACTTTTTTCTCTAGAATTGAACAAATAGAGCACTTCTGATACTTTGATTCAGTAATGGAGCATTTTCATATTTTATTTATATACTTAAAGTATATACGTGTACAATTGTAAAGCTAGTGTGCTGCAGTCACAGATCACAAAAGATAGCAAACAGTATTTGTTTTTTTTTCAGCATTAATTATGTTCAAGCACATTCTTCGTGCAAATGTGACTACTTTGGCTTTCATTCAAATTCATTCCCTTACCAGGGCTCCAAGTTTTTTCAGTCTGGTAGGTTGTAGTCATCAAGGTATGCCGATTTCAGATCTGTAAACTTAATTTGTTATTTATCAGAGCAACCTTTCTAAAGAAAAGAAGATATATTTTTTGTAAGCAGTGTTTCTATCATGTACATTCACAAATACCAACAGGTACAGTAGCATAAGTAGATTTAAATCAAGAATTCAGGCACGGCCCTGCCAGTTCTCCACAGGTAGGATTCCTGGGGAAACCAGTGGAAAGCTGTGGCAGACAGAGAGCTTTGAATGCTAGCTAGAGACATCGATGGGAGAAAAATATGTGGATATGCATCTACCAAAAAAAAATAAAAGGAGGGTATGATACTGAAAAGTATCATCAGTTACAGAGCCATAACTTGGCTCTGTAATGACCTGCGTTCTCACTTGATTTATCTGCGAAGAGAGCAATGATACTTGTGCTGTTGCCCTGTACAGTCCATTACTGTTTCCAACCCCTGATTCTTTGCAGCTGAGCTATGAAACTTTGCTCTGGTCTGAAATGTAGCACAGAAAAAGTCCTGAGTGCCTGTTCCATGGTGCAGGATGTACCCAGGGGCTGCCCTGTGAACAGCAGTGCACTCCTCGCAGCCGCCTCGCAGCAGAGCTGCAGTGCGATCCCCACCACCCTAACTTCGCCTGCCAGCGCCTGCAGGATCAGCACCGCAGTCCTGCTGCATCCTTGGCAGTGGTGCAAAGTGGCTGTAACTGCAGTTTTTAAGCACTGTAGCTGCAAACAACTGTGCAGTGTGAAGAGCCTCAAAGGAACCCACAGAGCTGGAGCAGAAAAGCTTGTGTTGTTTTTTTTTAAAAAAAAGCTCCTCACTATTAGTTGTCATCAGTAAACCACAATTATGGGCTCTTTACTATCTCTATGAAGGGATTACAGAGCACATTGTCATCATTATATTCAAAGTAATAAAACAATTAACACCTCCCCAAAGTATGTATTTAGTAGATTTGTTGAAAATCCCTTCCCTGTTTTTATCGTACCATCAAAATATGACTAAACAAACAAACAAAAAAAAAATCTGATTTTAATAAAACTTAAAAAGAGTAGGCTTTGCATTGGAAAAGTTACCCTAACAAAATGATCTTTGAGCAAGTCCTTCAGTAAGTGCCCTAAACAACTGTGCTGGAAAATGGGATTCAAGAAAAGAGTGGTCCCACGCTGATGATTTAATCACAGTTCTCTCTTTTCTTCAAGCTCCAAGTCCTAGAAATTATCTGATCAGGCAGGGGTCTTTATGAACAACAAGAGACCTTTTATTTGTGATACTCCACATCTTGTTGAAGGCACTTCTCCAGAGGCTTCAGTCAGGATTTTTAGGTAGGCAGGCAAATTACAGTCTGGCCTGAGTGAAGAGGCAACATGCACTTTCAGGACCCCACATGGGCAAGAGAACTAAGTCTCTAAGGACTCTTACCACTTGCTGGGGTAAGAGGCAGTGTGTTACTGCAGCCCCTTTCATGGATCAGTACTTCCCCCTTTTGTCTCACTGCAAAGAGTGAGCAGTTGTACGTTTCAGATTTTCATGAGATTTTGTATTCATCAGTCTAGCTGAGTTCCATAGGGCAGAAACAGCTTGGTCTTTGAACAGGCTGAAGTCTTGGTTGGACTTGAAGAAAGCCAGGAAATGCTTGCTTGAGGTTAACACTTCATCCTTAACACACATTTTTGTGCCTTTTTTGCTAATTCCTTTCCTCCAGTCCCAGCACCACTTCTTACACACAGACACACACACACACACAACCATGTGTTAAGAACAGTGTTTACCTTGACCTCACATTTTCTGGCTATTGTCACTTTATGCTAGCTACAGTGTATGACTTTAATGTAATAGGTGGCTTTAAGACTATATATATATAAAAAAAAAAAGGATAATTCCAACCAAATTGCACCAGAGTAATGTATTTATAGCTAATCAACTCATTTCTAACTCATACTACTATAAATAACATTTACACATCATTTGTCTGTAAAAGGCATTAAAAAAAAAAAGTATCTATCTTGTGTTATAGCCCAAAGGGTCAATAAAAAGTAGAAATATTATGGTGGTTTAACTCTAAGTTGATTTCATTCCATTGTAAAGATAAACTAAACCCCAGTCTTTTTTTGCTTAAGGCACATCTATGTATTTTTGGTATTCTTCAGCAGTGGAAAAAAAAATAGTAAAATGGAATGATGAAGAGATGCTTTATGAAAATATTGATGAATGAATATTCATTTATTAAAAAGGATTTAAAGATCAATTGTTTCTCTTTTTTCTTCTGGGGTTGGAGGAAATATGTCAACTAAATTTGGTGCTTGGCTAAATTCTAATGTTTAATTAGGTTTTAAATGTCATGTAATAGTCTTACACAGTTTTAAAGAAAAAATAGATTAAAGTATTTTGAAATTGACACACAAGTAGAAAAGTGGATTCTTAAGCATTAAACTACTGTGTTTCCTAGTGTTTTCTGTAGTAGATTAATGAAGAGGGAAAACTATATCCACTGACCTGGCAAGGTTCTTAATGGCAACCCAACCTCTCTTGACCTGGGGATCTGCTCAGTAAGAGCAGAAAGGTTGTCCTCTGCTTTACATGCAACCTTTGCCTGCCTAGGAGACAAGAGAGCTTTTGATGTCAAAACAAGATGGTGATGTCCTGTTAATTTGTTTGATTAACCATCATAAATATTTTAAAAATTAGCCAAAAACTCTTCTCTAGCTATGCTAATTGTATCAGGAATGCTAATTGCATTCACTACACTTTCTATTGCTATCTGTTAGTAGGTTATTTTAAAGGAGTTGGGATACTGACAGATTCCAAGAGGGGCATTAAGTTCATTTTAAGAATCCTCTAAGGATTCTAAATGGATATTTGGAAAGCACACTGTCCTTATACCTGACTGCCTTTCTTTGTGTTGTAACAAGGTGTCACACACTTGCTTAAATATCATGGTAGCTAATGGAGTGTGTCACAACTTTTAGGAGCGGGTAAAATATTCAGCACAACAGATTTGATTGCAAGGCCTTTGAAGTCAACAGAAAGGCTGCCTCTGTTCAGCAAGTTTCTGTTCAGTTCTAGCAGCACTTCGCAGATCGTAAGTAACATCTATTGTCTATTTACTCCAGTACAGCACATACTGTAGAGCAGAAAAAAATAGTGATGTCCCAAGCTTATCTTTTTGATGAGGAATATCTGGGTAAGAGATATATTTCCTTCTGTATTTTGAAGCTGATGTATGGATAGATACTATCAGTTAATACTAATATTAATTAATAAGGTACTAGTAACTGTATTAAAGGTTTTCCAGTCCTATTAGATATTTGGGGTTTCTTTCCCCAAATAAACATGCTCCCTAGGATCAAGGCAAATTCCAATGATGTTGGTTTCATACTCGCAGCCATCAGAACAGCAAGCACAACCCACTAGCGGAAGAAGCAAGGCAGACCAGATGAAAATCAAACTAAGCATGGAGGGAATCCCAAGGTTGAATTTTCTTTGAACAAAGACAGAATCTCTCAAAATTACCTCCAAACTTTCCTGCAAATAAAGGGTCTGAGCTTTTCTAAAATCATTTCAGATTTTGAGTGGTTCTTTTCTGTGGTTCTCCTCTCTTGTGAGGGCCTGATTTGTGGTCTCAAGCAGATGCCTTCTGAAAATCAAATCCTTTGGCAGCTTACCCAATGCACTATGTCACTTGTTATACTTAAAAACTAAATCCACATGGACGGAACATGTAATAGTACAAAAAGAGCAACTATAGTCCCCAAAATCAGCCAGTTTAAATTCTTTAGCACATTACCTGGATTTTAGGTAGTACTTAAGCATGCACAATATTTCAAAAGGATAATTTATATGGATGGCATATCTTACCTTTACAATGTATTACTGCTGCATGCCTTTGCCCCAGTAAAGCAGCCTAATTTAAATCAGTGGTTTGGTTTGGTTTGGTTTGGTTTGGTTTGGTTTGGTTTGGTTTGGTTTGGTTTGGTTTGGTGTGGTTCTTTTTAGTCACTTCCCAGAAAGTGACTGCTCAGGCCAAGTTTTGCCTGGGCTACCTAGACAGAACACCTCAAAGCCACTCAGGTCCCTGCTCTGAATCTTTTTGGAGGCAACGATCTTTCTCCTTTGACTACAGAGGGAGCCTTAGGCTAAACTCTGAATTATCTCCCGGCTTACCACCAGCAGTTGGCTCCTTTCAGATGTTATTGCTCTTGCTGCAAAAGTCTGGAGATAAAATAGCTATTATCCTAGCTGGCAGGAGGCACGGAAGCAAACAGCATGGGTACTCAGGGCTATGATACATCACAGCAATCTTTAGGTTATCTGTTCTAATACTGTATTTAAATGTATTTCAGTTTATGCTTTAGCCTTCAAGTTAGCAGGGTCTTCTCCAGGTGCTGAAGCTTTTTATACGTGTTTACCTGAGACACCTGGGACAGAGCACGGGAGGTTTGCTGAAGTCTTTATATCAGTTCGGCACAAAACCTCTGGGCATTTCCTCTGTCCTTCACCCATATCATGGGTCTGAGCTTGCATTGCCACTGCTGTAGGTTAACCACACACCTGCAGGTTACCAGGAGCTCCAAGCTGCAGGCATGGTGACTTGCTCAACTGTGCCAGCAGACAAACCAGCATTACACGTTCTCTGTGTTGGAAACGGTTTCACAGATCAGATGCTGTATTAGTCTAACAAGTGACTGCTGCTTCACAGTTCCTCCACCAAAAATGCCAGCAATGCCACTGGAGACTCCATTTTCCTGTCCTTTGAAAAATACTAGGAAAAGGGGGAAATCACAGTCTGTCAGATAATTAAGAACCTCTCTCCATACACCTGGGCTTGAATTTTGCTGCAGGCCGTACATTTCATCCACAGGGACAGAACTAATTTGGTACAGAATTCTTCCTGCCTAGGGCTACTCTTAAAAGTATGCAGACTAAAACAGCGGTAATGTAAGCACATGCAACAGCATTAAAAAAATATTAGCAGTGAGGTCTTCCTGCCTTTTTTCTTTGGGGGTTATTTGATGCCAAGTGCACAAACAACTGCAGGAGCAGGGACCATCATCATGGGAAAATCTCCACTTCAGGCAGCCCGAGACTAAGACTGGAGTGAGGCTCTTGTGCTTCTCATGCTTTCAAAGCTCTTCTTGGCAGAGCAGCTGGGCAGTTTGAGTGGAAATCCCCAGGACATGACCCAGAGCATCCTTCAAGCAAGTGCTCCAGGCACCGTCGTATGGTGTAAAAGCCAGCAAAAACTCTACGTGTAATTACATCCAGGATGGAGGGGAGCATCCTGTTAAGAAAAGGCCTTGAGTCCCAAGCAGATGCCTGTGAATGCCTTCAAAGTGCCGGATTTTTCCTCAGATTTGTATTTCCCATACTGTTACATACTGGATATGCTGCTTTGCCTTTCAAAGCTGTCTGCCTAGTTCCCCTGCCACTGAAGAGGACATAAATTCATCCCATCTCATGCGGCACATTTATATGAGGTGTCCTCAGTCGTTATAGACCCTATTTATAATTGACAAAATAAATACTATCAACACAAGGGCTACTTAAAGCCCACACTTAGAGTTCCAAGCCCACATTGGTAGTTTTAGTTCTTTGACTAGCTGCAAAACCTGCCTCTAGAGAAACCTGTGAGAAACGTCAGAAGGAGCTGGGTGCTTGGCAGCACTGCTGCAGAGAGCTCTGCAGCTGGAGTGGCTATGGTTGATGCTGGCAGGGGCACAAGAGAGACATAAGCATGGATGGAGAGCTAGAAATTATTCTTACACTTGCCTAGATTTACAGTGTTTTGGACTAAACTGTTTCAGTTGCAGCTGACAGGTCGCTCACGAATAAATCCTGCGATGTGAGTGAACTCATATCATGGTCAACATTGTCCCAGTTGCCCCTCCTCCGGTGTCAGTGAGAGCCAAGAGCAGGTTTACAGCATTGGCTGGGAACTCGGGACCATGTTGACTGTTGTGAAATAACTTCTGATTGCTTACTGAGGTTGGAAAACTGTGACATGAGCTCATTTGCAAAAAGGAACAATTCCAAGGCACGTTTTCCTGTGAACTTAACACTCCTGACATTGCCTTATTCTAAGTTGGAAGTTACTGCATCATTAACTCATTTTCAAATTACCACTTACTTTTCCATTATTTAACGTGAAGCACTGAGGTTTTTTTTGCTTATTTGTTTCACTAAAAATGTAATGCACATTTGCAGCAGGAAAGCAATTAATCTGTGTAATAAATACATATGCATCTGGACATAGTGCTATATATTAATAGTGAAATGATCTAAAGGATAACCATAATAGGCTATTACTGTTTGGGCACTACCTGAAATACTGTCAGCAATTACATTTACAAAGCAATCTTAGTTTATAGTGACACTGATTAGGTATTCTATATGGGCAGTTAATACTAGCAAACTTCCATGTATCTCATTTGCTTTGACACGGCAGTTTTTGGTGAAGCCAATGCTAGAACAATTTCCTAATGACCTCACTGATGTTAAATTTCTCTTGATCATCATTTCTTGAAGACCTGTAACATTCTGAATGCAGATGACAGTTTTGACATTCACAAAGATGTAGGTTTAATTATCATCTTGATTACTTGAGCTGGAAAGCCAGATGCCTAAATATCATGAAAGGTCGAGTAGAACAAATCCTGATAGTTGATATCTCACAGTACTAGGAACGCTGCCTGGGTTGGAAGGTGACTTAAAGAATAATACCAAGTAACTGGGAAATCAAGGGCTTTTTTCTTGGCACAGCTCTCTTCCTGCATGAAGAGACTTTGTTTAAACAAGAATCTCATCTTAACAGATACAGGAATCTGAGGTGGAGTGCTGAACACATGTAAATTATATCAAATAAAAGAGAACAGAAAAGAGAGATACGCAAGACACAAAGATATATAAAGATCTGCTAGGTTTTCCCAATGTCCCATGGTAGGTAACACTTTATTGTTGAAAGACTCATATAAAACGCAGCAAGCCTCCTCTTTTATAGGGGAAAATTTGTCAATATTCTTTACTTTTATGTGCATGATTTATAAATCTATTTTCTAAAGCAATTTGAGGGTTGTAAAATCATACTATTATTTAGTACACAGCTCCTCACGGACTCTGGTTTATCAACTGCTGGGTAAAGAGTGGAAAAAACATCTGCTAATCACTCATTAAACTAGAATAGATTCAAACAAATGACTGCTATTAAGAGTCCTGATCCAAAGCCCATTACAGTCAACAGAAAAGCTCTCA